GTTTTTTTCCCCTCCTGGTCCCTGAAGCAGTCTGCCTTAGGGCAGAAGATCATTTTTTGAAATCACCCTGGGAAGCAGAGAGCGTACAATAGTAATGAAAGCACTTTCCCGTTCCAAGCTGCTTCTCCTTGTGGCTGAGGTCTCACTGCTACTTCCCTCTCCTCCTCTAAGCTGAAATGGGGCTGCTGGTTGACAACATTCTTATGAGGCAGATACTTTTCTCTTAGCAAACCTCTGCTGGGTGCCAAAGAGGACAACAATCTTGGACCTGATTGGCTTGCTCCTAAATTGAAGTTTGTAATTTGACACTTCACTGGCAAATGTCTAAAATGTGCATATCCCTTGGAATGGGAAAGAACAGTGAATTATCCTAGAGAGCTGTAGCTCCTAAGGGACATTGCATGTCATGAAACGAGCATGTTACTGAAAATAGTGTCAATTCCATCTCCGTACATAAAATTCTTAAACGCTTTGAAGAGACCCTCTTATTAGTCCCTTTGTAATGTGAATCATCACCTTCACACTGTATGTTCTCTAGGTTTACTTTTCATACCTTGGGTTCCCCTAAAACAGCACACAGATGTCCTGGACCACTGCAGACACTCTCTTACAGTCACCAGCAGTGTCCACTTAGGGGATGTGAAGCTATTTACTTAACATTTGAAGCCTTGTGCAAGATTTAATTTCACTGGCTTTATGTACAGTATGTGCCTCATACTTTGGTTCAATGATGAAGCTGAAATACTTTGTTTAAATTGCACCTCTAGGTTGTTTATATTTTCCCAATCAGTGCATGTTCTCTGCAAAAAAAAAAAAAAAAAAAGCCATAATCCGTGGGGTCACAGGTACCCCTTGAAGACAGTTAAAATTGCATGGAGACCTTTAAAAATGAAAATGCACATAGACAGAAGTACTACTGTGTCTCAGAAGCAGTAAAAGGCATTTGTTCTTATATGCACCATTAATACCCTGCCTCCCAAGAGATGTGAGGCTTACCATACACAGCTAAATGTGGAAAAGTGCTTTGTGAAAAGTCAAAGCACCATTAAGCTAGCTGGCCAGTGGAGAGGGGAAGCACACCGTCTATTTTTTTAAATTAGGTCATGAGGACCTATTTCAATTGAACCTAGATCACAACACAGAATTTCCTCCGAGCTAAATAGAGTGCATTCGGATACTCTTCCCACACCTGTGAAAGAAACAAGCTACATCACTAGACAGGATATACAGAGAAATTATCAAGAGAACCAGCTTTTCTGTATGTTAGTCTTTTGGCTCTACTCTGGCAAAAGAATAGGATTCCTTGCTATTAACCTAGAAATATCAGGCCCTTTATCTTTTAGGAAGCTTCCATATGAAGAATTGCCTCATTCTGATGATTTTTTAGGAATGGCCAGCTTGGTACCCCAAGTCTGAAAGAAAGTTCAGGAAAGTTCACTTGGACTGTGAAACTCACTTGGCATGGCCAGATCTCTCCATGATAATCCAAAAGATTATCACAGGGATTCACTATAAAATTTCTTTCCAAGATCTATGTAAAAGTATCACCGAACAATGTGTTAATGGATACTGATTACATTTTGAAGTAATAATAAAGCCCCTACAGTTTACAATGTACTTTCATACCCATATGCTGTGGATTCTCATCCTTTTCCTCAGAAGTAACAGGGCTCACATTTGCTTTTGAGTAGACCAAGGCTCTGAGACTCTGTAATTTTCCCAACTGATGGCCACTCACAGAGGGTCTGAGCATATGACAGAGGCAGACAGGTTCAAAGGACCACAGGAATTTATCAAGGGAAGAGATTCTGAAAGCTAGGCTGATCACTTGCCCTTTTGACGATTTCTTCAAGATATATTTTTGAACATGTGTCAAATAGCTACTATTAGCAGCTTTGGAAAATGGGTTTTTGAAAGTCTGCTTTTCAAAGAATATTTAATAATCTTCTTACAAGTTGTATAATTATGCTATATTGGCTAGAGCCACACACCCAGGATATGAAGCAGTCAGGCTTTATGCCATAAATAACCCTTTTTACTCAAAATTCTACCTTCCTACAAAACTGACTGTTTATATCTCTGATTTCTTTTATCCCAAGCCAATGAACATCTGGGTTAGAGCACATCACTGATCTCCAATGACCCCAAAAATCTAAATATTTTATCAAATTAGAGCAATACTTACTGAACGACTTTTGTCACCGAACAGATTACCAAACGTCACCTGCCCGGCACATCATTTCAGTGTCGTAGACTCTTCTCAGTTTCATGCACAGTGCACTTTCTATTAAAACAGATCATCCCAATCTGAGAAGATTTATCCTTTGAGAAGATTTGTCCTTTGAGAAGAAGCATCATTAAAGTCTGAACACAGAGAACAGCTAAATATCACAAAAACATATTTTACAATCCTCAGTCTGTCTCTGTCTGTCTGTCTCTGTGTCTCTCTCTCTCTCTCTCTCTCTCTCTCTCTCTCTCTCTCTCTCTCTCTCTCTTCTCTCAATACAATGTGAAACAGTATTAACTTTTCAGAAGATAACTTTTGGCATAAGCATTGTGCTTTATCATATAAACAAGACTTCACTCCAAGGTCCTACAATTATGAAGATGAAAACAGTCTTTGTCAAATGGTCAGAAATGTGTACCATCTAGCTTCATTCATGTAGCAATGTTGCTATATTTTTTTCAACAGAAAAATAGGGTATCTTAAGAGTGCTCGGTTCACACGTGATGTTTCTGCTTCTTAGTTACATTAGTTGTATCAGTTCTTCTGGGTAAATTTGTAACTTGGAACTATACCAAGGGGAAGTGGTAGATATAGGAAGAAGGAATGGGCCAAGTAATACGTGAGCATCCTTTTACAAAACTTAGATGGATGCATGCACACCACCAGATTTTGCATGATAGACTGGGGACAGCATTTTGTAGCCATAGGGCAAAGCAGCAGATGGGCTGTGCTGGAGAAGGTAGTCTCCAAAGTCACATTTGATTATTTTATTACTTACACTGAAATACAAATATGGATATTATCCAGGAGCTGTTGCTGAGCCAGTGCTCTCATATGATTTACAATATCCATTCAGTCCATTTTGTTCAAACAAAAATTAAAAAGGCAAAGGCAGTTGCATAAGATTACCTCTGAAAGTTTTCTAGAAAGGAAATAAATAAATGTGCCTCCAGTCCTGTGGCTCTTTTATGTCTGAACATTTATATGACAGCGAAGTACACATATAGGACAGGGCCAACCATTGGGTACTAGGTATGTTTTTTTATAAAATAAGCCAAATTTCTTCTCTCAACTCTCCAGACCCAAATCCAGAGGGCAAAGCCATTCTCAGCAGTGACCTGGGGGATATCTGACAGAGCCTGAATTAGATTCAGCATTAGTAAATTCCTAGGGGGTTTCTGGTTTTCAAAACCCTTAGCCTTTTTATACATATATTTTATGTGGTCTGACATGAATAATTTTATGTGCAAATTAGAGGATGCCAGGATGAGAAAATCCGTGGAGTCTGAAAGGCAGACATGAGGGTTCCTATGAATTAGTTGTCATTGGAACATGAGGAAACATAGATGGATAGAGAAACCTTCTATTTATGAGAATAAGTAAGGCTGTGATAACAGCTAAGTGGATCATGAGTAAAAACGTTCCGAAAGACTCTTTTGACCTATTTCTCTGAATTCAGTTGATATTTATATCTCCTTAGATGTCCTTTCGTGTTCTTTCTTTTCCTCTTTTTCGCTTTCTTCTCTGCACAAATGCCTGTGCTTTGTACCAACAGTTCCTCAGAGACAGCCACCCCTTCTTTTATAGCTCTGACATTGGCCTCCAAAGGATCTTCCTGCTGGGTCATAGACACAGGCCAGAAAAGAAGCTTTTGTCTTACAGTTTCTGGCTGTGAATCCCTTCATGGCCAAATATAAACTTGGCTAGACAGGAGCCCAGCCACATTCCCGTGATCCTAAAGCCATCTATCATTCCTGAGATGATGTAGACATGGCGTACCAAAGAGGAGCCAAAGAAGCCGGATCTCCATGGAGGATTAAGCCCTGCCCAGAAGCTGCTGGCCTGCATCCTTCGCTAGCACTTGCTTTCTCTCCTGTGTGTAATGTCCCGTGGAGTTAGTCTCCGGGGAGAGTTAGAGGATGTGCCTGCATCAACACAATGAAAGCAGCAGCAGGTCTTCAATGCAGCACCCTAGCCCACGGTCTAGGAGCACCTGCATGGCTGAAGCAGCTCACCAGAAGTTCCTCTTGCAGAGCCAGATGTTGTTAAATATACACCTAAGCTAAGCACATGGCCAAGGCCTGGGTACTCTGTGATAATAAGCAGCGTACCAACAGACAGTCTTAAGAATAACACTGATGCTTAATATAGAAAGGTTCTAAAATCTAAAATATACATAGTGCTGGGAAATAGGGAATCTGTATTTCTGCGTGGCCTCTTTCTTCCCCTACAGTGCACTTCCATAAACTTACTCAGGGGCTGTATACATATATTATAGATGGTCATCTCTTCTAGACTGTAAGCCCAGGAAGACAGAGATAAGCTGCTGCACAGCAACGGGCATACAGCTTACCACATGGTAGATGCCCATTAAATATTCATGGGCTCATAGACATCATTCCTGTGCTGAAAACGTCTGAGAAAGGTGCACAGAGTAAACACACTTCTAAATATATCACTGAGCTACATTTTTAAAGGTTGAAAATTCAACAAACAGAAATATTCTTAAGTATGACTGTGGATTTCTTAAGCTGAGCTTGGGTCCCTCATTACAGGAAATTTGTAAAATGCCAGGCATGCATTTTCTTGGCAGGTAATGTCAGTTAGGGGACTGCTGGTTGTTGAAAATCAAACCACAGCAGATTTATGACTGAATCAAGCGCAGTGTCCATCTGGAGCATTTTGCCAGTCTTGTGGGCTGGTGAGGCTCACGGGCTTCGGGACTGTCTTGACAGATGCAAATTTCTGAGGGCTCTGCTGTTCCTTCCCACAGGTTGTGGACGGCAAGCTGTGGTTCCAACTGGACTGCGGTAGTGGCCCCGGAATCTTGGGCATCTCTGGGCGCACGGTCAACGACGGGAGCTGGCACTCGGTCTTCCTGGAGCTCAATCGCAATTTCACGAGCCTGTCCCTCGACGACAGCTACGTGGAGCGGCGCAGGGCGCCCCTGTACTTCCAGACACTGAGCACCGAGAGCACCATCTACTTTGGGGCCCTGGTACAGGCGGACAACATTCGCAGCCTGACCGACACGCGGGTCACGCAGGTGCTCAGCGGGTTCCAGGGCTGCCTGGACTCGGTGGTGCTGAACAACAAGGAGCTGCCGCTGCAGAACAAGCGCAGCAGCTTCGCCGAGGTCGTGGGGCTGACCGAGCTGAAGCTGGGCTGCGTGCTGTACCCCGACGCGTGCCAGCGCAGTCCCTGTTTGCACGGAGGCAGCTGCTCCAGCCTGCCTTCAGGGGGTGAGTGCGCCTGCACCCTGGGCCCTGGGAAGGGAGGGGTGCTGGCTGGAGGAGGCTTCGCCCTCGCAGCCTTTTCCAACCTGGCAGCTCTCCTGGAGTGCAGTGCATTCGCTCATGTGCTAGCAGAGCCTCTTACTCTCCTGGTCTAGGAGAACTTTCATGCTTAGCCATTACAGGGGCTCCTCGTGTAGAGCCCCATTTGCAGCATTCCCCAGACCTGGGGTAGAAGACTATAGATACCCCCCACTCTGTCCCTCCCAGTCCACCTCACACCCTCCCAGATTTCAGGGACTTCGACTAATAGGACCCCTTTTTAAGCTGTGCCTTCAGGAGCCACCTGCTGGTGGTTGTAGAATGTGAGTAGCAGTCTTGGCTGAGATTCAAGGGCAGAACCCTTCCGCTGGTTGGAATGGTTCACGGGTGCAGACGTGACTTTACCAGATGCTAAGAAAGAGTGACAGCAGAACTACAATGGAGATATTTGGGGCATGCTTTTGAAGCGTGTGTATTGAAAGCCTAGTGACGGTTCTTTACTGAGTAAGGAAAAGGAGACTTCTGTGAATCCTCAGGAGGGGAAGGAGCTATGCTTTGGCCCAGCAATGTTTCCCAAAGGCATCATGAAGGACGGAGGGCCAGACGGAAACAGACAGCTGTGTGCACGCAGGCGCACACACATAGAGAGCGCTATAAATAGTTCTGTTGTTTGAGGAAAGAAAAGCCAAGATTACTTAAGATCCAGGAGTGTAACGATAAAAGAATTCCTGCTTTCACGCAGATGTGGTGTCCGGCGTGCGGTAAGCAGGCCCCACGGCGCTCAGTTGAAAGCTTGCTGCCACCTCCCAGTGGCCAGCCCGCCGACAAGGTCTCCTCAGCCCTTCTGCAGGGCCACTCCGCGGTAATGTGATTAGCAAATTTTAACCTTCCTCGCAAATCACTTAGAGATTCTGCTGTGCGTGTTAGCATCTAATGTTCGCAAAGCCCAACTCCAAATTTAGAGTCCATTTTATTATTAGAATGTTATAAACTGTCCATGAAATGATGCACTGCCGAAATACAGACACCAAAGTTGTTTAGACTTGCATATGTTACTGCCACAATGAGGGCCAAGTGCCCTGGGGGAAAATTTCTGCCGTCTCGATTTAAGAAATCTATTTGCTGTTTTTACTGTCTCAGCAGTATATGTAAATAAAGGGTTGTTATGGTACCATAATTCCCGAATGATGGGCAGTAACTATACTTCAGTGGTTCTATAAACCAGCCCATTATGACAAGTCATGGCCAGTTTTTCAGCAGGCAAAACAATTCTGCTAGTGTGAGCCATCTACGATATATAAAGGGAGCATATAATTAAATTGGGTTGAAATAGAACACCACTCCATGTCAAATCCTGGGTACACAGCCACAAATTGTAACATACTTTTAACGATGGCTGGATGTTGTTTTTGCTGGCAGAGCTGTGGGCTTCCACAGTGGGTTATCTCCAACAGAATAACAGCTGAGTAAAGGAAAAAGACCTTGGGATCCTGCTCTTCAGTGTGCATTTTATTTTTTTTCATTGCAATGAAATCCTTCAGCTAAACACTCAGAGACAGGTATGTTAATTAAATAACTATGGCTTATATGAAAGATAGCAGCATTTTTGCTACTCTTTGAAGCTTTGTTTAACCAGAGTTTAGCGTCTTTAACCAAAATGTAGTGTCTCTAAGCAAAACTTAGTTGCCATATACTTTTTATGTGTCTAAAATGCTGTCATTCCTTTTCCTAGGAGACCTCACCTTACCTATATAGTAGTCTCCCTGTTCTCTTCCATGATTGGGCTTGGAATTTGATTTGTGTGTGTGTGTGTGTGTGTTTAGGACAGGGTGTACAGGGTGTACAGGTCTTACTGCATAGATTGGACTTGTAGTGATCCTCCTGTTTACAGCCTCCCAAGTGCTGGGATTACAGGCATGTGCCACCACGCCCAGTCTCAATCACCATCTCAGCGAGCTGGCCTACCAGGCCAAGGGAATCGAACTCATGGCCCCTGCATCTGCCTAAGCAGGTGTTTTAATCCGCTAAGCTATTTGGCCAACCCTGTTGATTCTTTTTCTCACAAGATGGTCTTTCTTTCTTCTTCTTTTCTGGTCACTGGTATTTTATTGTCATTTTGCAAAGATAAGCACACACAGAAGCAGCTGCACACTGGGATCAACTGGTCAGGCCAAGAGCCCTTGTCATGGCACCTTCAGTCCATAACTTCCTTCCTTCTCTTTTGCCTGTGATTTGTCTTTTTTTTTTGCTTCAGCTCCTGTCTGAAATTATAACCAAAAAGCTGTGGGTCTTCGTCATACATTTTCTGCATATAAGATGGTCTTTCTTATAGTAGATCTTATTCTTACAATATGATATGGCCCCTTATCAACTTAAGTCTCCCCTTTGTACACAGGAACTACATTTTCCTAAGATGAAGGAAGTATCTTTGTTTCATCTCAATCTATACAACTGTCTTCTTTCAAGTCTACTATCTCTGTCCAGCAAATGCACTGTCTACAAAGAGCACTCCCACCAACGCTACTCCCAAGCCTAGTCCTGTGGTTCTTTTCTTAACAGCAACATGGACAATGGCTCCACACAGAATCTGAGGCTGTCATGCACAGCAGCTCTGAGCCCAGTGTGAGCAAACTCCTTACCACTCACAAGGAAATCCAGCAGGATCTCTGCTGCTTCCCTGAGGAAGAAAACACACAGGATTCCAGTTCTGATAGATAAGGAGGTATCTAGTTACTTCCTTTTTCTAAGGATTAATCCTTGTCCTCTAAAGAGGACAGTAAACCTCTTCTTTCCCCCATTATTTGCTCATATCAGAAGAATTTTTGATAGGTCCTGGTGTGCTATTGGCAAATCCCTTAGTACCAAATAGCGAAGGGGAGAAAAACAGGAAAAGAAAGAACCAACAATTTGGCCCTTATTTATATTTATGAACACAGCTAATTAGAGAGTAACTTAAAATAAAAATCTTAGCTGTGATTGTTTACAAAGACCAGTAAGAGTGACTCTAATGAAAGATGCCCTTCAGAATCACCTTTAGTCACCACAGTGGTCTAATCAGGGAAAGACAGTCCAGGGCACCCAGACAGAAGGCTAGGACATGGGCAGTGTTCAAAGAGGAAATGCAAGCGAGAGAAAGCAGAATGAGGTGCTTCAGAAGCGATCCCTTGCTTAGGACAGAACTCACGACAAAAATTCATTATTTGGACCCTGTACTCGGTGGCTCTGTAAGTCCAGCATACACGTTGTGGCATAATCACCCCCTTGACCTCTGAAAAATGCTGGCTGTCCTGGTCACAGATGCCATTCTCAAACTGTGGCTCTCCTAGCACATTGTTCCAGAACACTCAGAGCCTTTAAAGCAGGCAAGCTTTTTCGTGTAGAGAAGCAGAATTCTGCTCCAGCCACCCCCAAACCCTGGGTGTGAGGGTTAAGGAAGCCACATCTTCTAGCCTAGAATGACAGAGTCAGCAATTCTGACCAGTCTTATAACCTGACCAACCCAGAAGCAAGCCATGAGGACGCCAGGGGAGTCAGAGCCCAATGCTGACTTGTAATAAGAGTACAAATATGACTGCATAAGTCAACCACAGAGGGAAGGCCCTTTCTTGGTTATGCCATAAAATTATATGTATTTCATAAACATAAACTGGAAATAGCAACCACCACGGAGAAGAAATGGCTAGCGTCCATTCTGACCGTTGGGCTTCCAGGCCCAGGGAGTCGGGAACAGCCAGGAAGTGCCCAGTGTCTGAATAAGTTGTGCTCAGCCCCGTGCCTTCTCAGCTCAGGCCTGCTTAGAGCAAGCGTAGCTGGGAGCAGGCTGTAGTTTGGTGAGGTAGGGCAGCAAGTCAAGCCAGCCAGCTACCAGGCCAGAAATAGCCACTCGCGTAGTTCTGCGTACTACTAGATACCCACCTCCTGAAAAGAAAAGTATAGATTCTGGCCAGTAGGCATTCCTAGTATGTTCAGTAATTATTAGTTAGACCTGTATCATGCGTTTGGCCCATAGTAGCGCATAACGTGCAGGTGCTTGCACAGTAGAGCATTTATTCTCACGACAAAACTCTGGGAGCATTTCTGTTCCTCCCTCCTAGCTATCCATCCTCATTTTCCCAAACAGCAGAGCCAGAGAAGCTTAAGATCACACACACACAGCTGGTAAAAGTAGTGAAGTTAGGATCTGACGCAAGTTTGTGAAGCTCCCAGGCCTGTGATCCTTGCTGCTGAGACTTTTCTGGGGACCAGTAGTATCGGATTCACTGAAAATGTCAGCACAGTGTACCTTCCATCCACCCCAAGCCCACTGAGTCACTTCGCATTTTGACAAGGTGTATGGTTAATGCCCTGATTTCTTTCTCTGTCTTTGAACTGTCCTGGAACCTGGAAAACCTAGTTCGTTTTGCTCAGATTGTAGAAATGGTTCTAAAACTCTAAGACACATAAGATCCTCTGAAGCCCTTGCTCACGTGAGGTCTTGTTAATGAAGTGTCTTGATTTTTAATGAACAAAGAACCTTTATTTGCTTGATCCCATCATTTGCTGAAATCTTCTATTGGGGCCTTCTATTAGGTAACTAAGCAATATTTGCCAATTCTGAACTTACTGGAAAGAAAGGTTGAGGAGTAGGGGAATCGAAGCCTACAGAATCTGTACGGACAGAATTCACACACCCCTATTCCTGACAAGTCTCCAGGATGTTCTACACACATCCAACAAGTCTGAGAATGGCTTACATTCTGGAATTCTAATAATTACATCTGCAGATAAGCCAAGGAGTGAGTTCAAGGAGGGGTAAAAAGACCAAGGACACTCAGGCATTAAAAGTGACATGATCAATATGTATGGTACTTTTTTTGGAGATAGGGTCTCACTGTGCAGTTTAGGCTGGCCTTGAACTCACAGCAGTCTCCCTATTTCAGCCTCCCAAGTATTGGGATTACTGGTATGTGCCACCATGCCTGGCTGTG